CCTGAGTCTGCCTCAGGATGAGAGACTCCATTTCGCCAACTTCGAGCCTGAGAAAGTGTCTAACGGCTTTACTTCCAGGCGAACGATGCACCAGCACCATTACGTTCAAGAAAAGAATCAAAATCAGTCCGCGAGCGATATTCTGAGCTACCAGAATTATCCCCGGTCGCAGAGTCAAAAAGGTTTTATCGATGGAAACGCGAAGGATGAACATGAGCAATCTTATTGGCCTCAAGATCAACAAGATAACAGACTACATTTGGAAAGTTTCGAAGTCAAGGAGGAAGATCTCTTATCTTCACGTAGAGAAGTCGAGTGCTACAAGAACAGTTGTCAACCTCCAATGGTGAGCAGAACGGAGTACAGCCTCTATCAAAAACCGAAGAGCGAAGATCTACAGGAGACGGTGCGACGCAATTGCAGCCCTGAGAGCAAGTCATATCATCCTTTCGATAGTTATCATCAAATGTTCGAGCACGGTGACGCTAAAAACCAGCCACACAACCGCGTCGTTCATCAAAATTCGATCCGGACGAATCTGGACGAAAGACTTCAGAGTTGTTACGGCAATCAAGAGACACCGGAAACTGCAGAAAAGCTGTTCCACAACTCCGGCGTAGCGGAGACGTCGGTCCAGTCTCGGAATAGTCCCGAATCCTTCTTCTATCCCAGCAACGAACGTTGTCATTACACCTGTGAGATCCTTGAACGGGTGCCACAGATGATGAGCGCCGGACCGGCTCACGGAACCGTTAACAGCTATAGCGATCCGACTACCACCGACTTGGATCTGCCGCCCTTTGTAGATTATACACTAGTCGGGATGCTGTGCAGCTCCACGGACGAGGAGACGACGAGCCTGCTGCCTGGATGCCCTCAAGACTCGCACAACTACATTCCTCATCATTAGAGAACGTTCTCGTTGCTCCTTTACTCATTTGTATTATATAAATAAATATAATATAGTATATAATATAATATAGTTGCATTTTCTCTCCGAACCGACCCGAACAGACTCGTTATTTGTACATAATTTATTAAATTACTGCAAAAGTTTTTCCATCAATTTTTCTTTGAATATTAAAATAGTATTGAAGTAGATAATCAGAGCTTTCTAAAAAATATCATCGAAACTAGATTTCGTATCCGTTTAATAGTCTGAAAGTATTTCACGAGATTACTTCGATCAGGTTTAACATAAATTTCAAAAATCGTGGAAGGTGGAAGAAGTAGAACCGAATGTAGCTTGGAAAAAGGTCACAAGATTTATTTGCAACTGATTTATTCGTAACAGATACTCTCACGATCACAATTGTTATGTACGTTATGCAATATTACTATTATTATTATTATTATTATTATTATTATAATATTATGCCTATGCATTACACTTTCTCGATTACACATGCGCGATATCTTCTTCCTTATCTTCTTACTTATTTCTTACGAGAGTTTTCACGAAAGCGTTCGCATGCGGCGAACGTAACAGGACACACGAACGGAACGGATGCGAGACACGTCCACGCGATCGCAGGCTGGCCAGGACGAGAATCCTAAAGTAATGCAGCGTCAGGAGGGAAAAAAGCTACCGAAGAAAAAGGGAGACAGAGAGGAAAGCACTGATGGGATTCCAACGATTCAGATCTCTTCAATATTGATAACGGATGTAACGATACAGAGAGACAGGAGACAGAAGGCTTTGCTCTCGCGACAGACCGATCTTATAAATTGTACCATGGGCACGATAGTGATTGTTACGTAATTCTTAAACGCGATTGTATCATTGCCTCGATCGACAGTCGATCTTGCCGCTATTTGGTTCTTTCGATACTTTTCCTTTTTTTTTATATAAAAGACAAGTACTCTCATATAACGCAACATACACACTGTTCGCAATTTTTGATCAATTTAATCTGATTCAATAAGAGAAATCAACACTAATTGATTAACTGAAAGTCAAAGTTAAATCAAAGATGCGCGAATCAATCTCGATCTATTCGTCCTTATAATTTACTGTCAAACCGTACATTAATTTAAGCTTAATTTAATTTTCAAAATATCTAATTTAAAAAATCTTAATCGTACACAAATCGAAGCTTTTCTACCGCTACACTTTATGCATGCATACAAAAAAAGCAAAATCTCATTAAGCTAGAATTACGCAATGCTAAATGCATCTTCTCTTTTCATCTCATATATTTATTCCTTCGAATTTTTGACTTCAATAATCGCCGATTACTTCTTTTCATTGGAAAATTTTATCTCCTAATTATCTTTCTTTCTGTGCTCTTTTTTCATTAAGTATCAGTCAATTTTGAACAAATTCAAACGAATAAATTTCCAACTCAAACAAGATCAACCGTGATTCTTAACCGAATATACAAGCAATTCGCAATAAGTAATACGCTTATACGATATTAGAACGCTTTAATATTTAAATTCTCAATTTATTAAACTAAATTAGGACTGTAACTATCAAAATCGATTGACAGAGCTAAACTAAAAACGCAATTACACACAGATCTTTCTTATTTTCTTCGAAAAAAAATATTTCGAGCAACAACGTAGTTCGTTAGAGTATCTTCCAAGGACAAATTGGAGAGTTAGACAATTAGGAGCTCTCTTTAAAGCATTGCCACATGCTTTATCTTGCTTTATCTTATGTCACATGGTGCAAAAAATTATTATAAAGATGCATATAGGTAGGGCTTCGAGGATTTTCAAGGGAAACATAAACAGCAACACCGAAGAACCGCTATTCGACTTCGCAGTTTAATGTTTCTTCGCCAATCCTCGAACTGCGTATTAAGTATAATTAATATCGCATGCGAGCACATCTATCTACACATGTTTACAACAATAGACTGCTTTTTTTTCAAAGTGATGAGTATCCTTTTGAAAAATTCCACTTTTCATCTTTAAATTATCTAAATTAATCTGAAGGTCACACAATCTTAAATGACAATAATGACTTAGAGTTTTTTGGAAGTTGTAGATTGCGTTTGTAGAAACACATCTTGTTCTTTTTTTCTCTTCTTACAAGGAACGATGAAACGGTATCTACTTCCAAATGTACGATGAAATGAGAATCATTTCAATAGTCACGTCGTTGGTGTTGCAAAAATTTATAAATATATCTAAAAAAGAGAGCGATCATTCAAGTATGAGAATAAGTGAGCTTATCGAAAAATATTCAGTTCGAAGCAATATGATATTTAGTGTCGCGTGCCTAGAGAGTTTCGGTGCATCGAGCTTCTCTGGCGCTATCAAACCTACGAAAAAGTTTGGTCTAGTAGGAACCGTAGGTATACATGACATAGAAATCGCATATAAAGATCGAATGTACGATTCAAATTGAATAGTTTTTCATCATCATAATGCGTTACTATCATCATCGTTTCTTTACATAGTGATTAGTTCGATGTATACGAGTTCTTCTTCTTCTCCGTATGCGATTTCGTGCGACAAACGATGATAACGATGATGAAGGACGAGGAACGGTGTTTCTGAGAGAGAAGGGAAGCTTAATGTCTCCGTTCATCCTCGGGGATGCAAGGGTCTTCATCGTCTTGCGCGCGTGAATGTGCGGTGTACACGTGCGTTTCGAATCAAGAAGACAAAAGAGTAATTACAGGTTCTTCTACTTCTTCGCGGTACGCCAAAAGCGAACGTGTCGTTTCCTCGAGAGGACCTCAAGGTAGCTTATTATCCTACCGAACGGTTTATCTTACATCAGCATATTTTGCAAACCGCCTTTTATCGGCTCTATGTTTGCATCAATTCGAAACAGTTCGCGTACGAACAATGATCGTCGTCCATAAATGATCGAGACTTTGTTTTACATTACTTATTCTTTTTGTATAAAAGAAATAAAGATTCCAGTGACACCTGTGTCCTCGATCAACCAAAGAACGGATCATCGCTCGACACCGCGAGGAATTAAGTTTAATTAAGTAGAAGTGACTAAGTAGAAGTGAGAACGTGAAGCTAACAATCACAGCTATTGTACTGTACTACGAGTGTTTACGCGTCACGAGAAACGATAGTAGCAATATTTAATGATATATAATGCAACTAAAAGAGTTTATGAGTAATCTTTCGCAAGCGACCCTTTTGTGTGGCGGTGAGTATACTTGCGTGGTTACTAGTCAAATAATAGAAAAGGATATATACATATACGTGTACGTGTACATTTATAAAATTCTTTCTACGCGGAGTATACGCGGAGAGTATACTTTCTCTCTCTCTCTCTTTCTCTCTCGGAGTCAATTCTCCGATGGGTATTATTTAAACTATCGCTTGAAAAGTGTATGTAGACGAAATAAGTAGACTGAATGGTACTATAGCCTTCGTTTCATTCATTCTATTCGAACGAAACATTGATTTTTACATTTACCTATCTCTCGATTTCGTTGATACTACAAAGAGATTGCGAAAAGTATCAAGAGAAAAGGAAAATGAAAGTGTATGATTGAAAGTATGCAAAAAGTGAAAGGACAATTTGCGACAAAAAATACGCAAGGCATTGTCAAAAGAGAATCATCGGAAATATGTTAATATCGTGTAACACGATATCTTCGTATAAATAATGTGACGTATTAGGTATTTTCATGAAATTGCACAACACATTTACGAGATTTTCACTTTACAAAATCTTAGCCCCAAAATCTTTAGGACCTATGAGATTTTTATACGCAGATATTGCACCTCGTACAGTAGTGTGTACGTGTATGTGTGTGTGTGTGTGTGTATAACATGATATAATTATATACACGTATGTATCATTATTTATATATATATGTATATATATAATATATAATTATATATGTAATCGGATGCGATTATATATATATTTATAACTATACATATATTCACGACATATAAATCGCACATTTCCATAACATGTTGGTTTTGTAAAACTTACAGCTATATCTTCTTGTCTCACACAATGCAAACATAAATTGTCAGAATGCAGAGAGAGGAAGCTGAACACGCTTTCGTCTTTCCGCATTGTACATCTAATGTTGAAGTTAAACAATCCCTTTCTCTCACACACACTAGTCAACCTATCGAATTATCGAAAGAGAGAATCGTCGATGACACTCACATTCCTTTGTTTTTTTTTTTTCATTTATGAAAAAAGAAAGTCGAAGAATACAAATATCGTTACGCTTCACAGCTAACCACAGCATTCGGCAAATATGTTTCACTCGTTTAAAAATTATTTATATCACAATAAAACGCCGGCGCATCCTTCCGTCTCATTTCATGTTATCCAACTTGCGCATACCTCTTTCTATAGATCACTCCCTTTCCAGCGTTCATTGGTATCAAGGATGCGTCTAGAGGCTCTGGCAGGTTTTGGCCTAGATCCGAGGTTTCCGGATGGTTGCGGAGACGTAAGTTCGGGATTTGCGTTCCGGGTCGCTGGTCCCCTAACGAACGCGGTCTGCCGACGCAAATCCTCGATCACAGCGCTTGTACTAGGCAAGAATCAAGGGATTCTCGACACAGTCTGAACGTAAAATTACGGTAGTTGACTCTTTGACATCAAACCCGTCTCGTCTATCAGCGCGCGTGCATCTCGTGGCTTAGCGTGCACTCTATAGAATTTCGTGCCACGTGGGACGTGGTATCGATTTTCATGCTAGAAAGAGAACGAGATTATATTTCACTTTTTGTGTTGTAGTGAATGATATACTATTTAATTAGAATACAATTTTACAATCTACGATAATTAATCAACAAGTCTTACCTTTCTGGCATGACAGTACTCCTTATCGATCACTTCAGCGAGAACGCACTTCCGAGCACTCGGAGTTATTCCTTCCACTGCACCTACGCAGTCCGAATGAAGGAAATAAAAAGTCGAAGATTCCTGATACACCGCATAATTGCTATGTACAGCGTCCCAGACTACGAGTACCACATCACCTGGATTACAACTAGTGACAGTGACAATTCCCTGTTGCACCATCTTTGCCACTTTTTCTGCGACCTTCTTATGTACGTATGAGGGAAGGGAGGAGTGGAAGCACATTGATTTGGAAGATGATCGTCGACTCGTCGGCTCTGGACTCGTGGCCGCGTCCCGACTTGAATTGGAGTCCGAAACTACTGCGACCGACGCATTCATGTCTTTGTCGCGATTTTCCGGCATCGGATCAAGACCAAACGTCCTCTTAGTACGCTCTTTCAGCAACTCAACCTCCAAACGAATTTTATCCGTCATTAATGCCTCCACTTTTGCTTCGGCCGCTATTTTACTCGCGCGTATCGAATTTAGCTCGCAGGACAGCCTCTTGTTGTCATTTTCGACAGACTCAAGTCGTCTCGATAGTCGAGCCAGATCATCATCGTCAGCTTCCAATCGTACTTTCTTCGATTCTGAGACCTCAACCTCATACTTTTCGGATTCCTTGAAAATGTCTTCTAAAATTTGACCAGCATCCAATCGATCGTAGCTCAAGTCTTTGCATACTCCAACTTCTAGAGGATACACGATATCATCGTTTTGTTCCAAAGCCGTTCGCATTGCTTTGTCTGCGGTTTCTTTGTTCTCCAAACACGCCTTGTCCGCTTCAAGATTTTTCATCTAAGTACACAAAAAATAAAACAGATAAAATATATAATGATCAATCAAAAATGTACAAAGTGATCTTTCTTTAGATCATCACTATCGGATTAAGTGTATATGTGTGTATGAATGTGATATCATACCTTCTCCATCAAAGTTTGCTGTATCTCCGATTTCAGTTCGAAATCTCCAAGTAATCGATCTATCGTATGCTTATAATGTTTGCCCTGTTCGATCAGCGCGGCCGTTCTCATTCTGTACATTTCTATTTCCCTATTTTTCTCTTCGACTACTTCCTTCGCCAATCTTAATTCGTTGTCCAATTTTGCCATACAATCGGCCCTTTCCTTTATAATAGCAGTACGGACTGCCACAGCATTCTCAATTTTCATATCTTCTCTTGCTTGCGCCAAAATTGCCTCATGATTTACAAGCTCAATAACATCTGTTCGCTGCAGGAAATAAAATTAACATTTTTATATTGTCTCATTTTTAATAATCGGAATAAACAAATTACTTACTTCGATCTTCTCTAAACTAGAATCGCTAGGACTCCTTTCCATGGTAGAAGCGGTCATAAGTTTGAAGCGGCTCCGAATAGTCTCTAATTCCGTTTTATATTCTATCTGCAATTTATCAGTTGCCTCTTTTACCATTCTCTCCTGATTGTTGCGCGCGGTGACCAGATTCTCCTCTAATTCTTGAATTCGCTTCTGGCATTGTGTCAATGAATTTGTTAAAGAAGTGATCTCGAGAAATCTCTCGTCATTCAATTTTTTCACGGCCTCTTCCTTATCTATGCGCGCTTGTTCTAGTACCCTCGAATAGTCCTCGAGTTGCTGATGTAAACGATCATGTAAGTTCCTCCTCTCAATTTGCTCGTCTTCCAATTTTTGATGCATCGTGGCTACCAGTCGCTCGTGTTCCGCCAATTCAGTTTCCCTTTCAAGAAGATTACGCTTGAGCGTGCAGATCTCTTCCTCACGACTCTGCATTAGCTTCTTAACATCCGCGATCTCGTACTCGTGCTCGATTGTCATTTCCTGTTCACGCTCCTGAAGACGTCGATCGTACTCTTGCGAGTGCAAGGACAATGCCACTCGAACGCGCTCCGTCATCTCGACGATGCCATTCTTGTCCTCGTTAGATTGATTTCGCAGAATCGCCAATTCATTCCGCACGGAACTGAGCTCCTCGCATACAACCGTTTTCATGGTCTTCAGGATAGAACGCAACCTTTCCACTTCCTCACGCGTATTACCGAGATTCTCCTGAAATGATGAGCACCAGAGATATTTCAATGAGTTATTTAAAAATCATATTTTGTGCAACGGATTGTCCTCGACTCTGAGTAAAATAGTCAAGGAGAATTCGTCAAGGAGATTAGTCAAGGGAAATTCCATTCTCTTTGTTAACTTTAAATCACGAATGCGTGTCCAATTTGCGCGGTATGCAAAATTGCAATCATTTCAATTTAGAAACAAATGTTTGTGTAAAAGCAATTGTGTGGATGAGTTCAATGGGTTCTGAAGGGATGTGTGACTCGAGGGATTGGGAAACGAGTGCGACGCCAGCTATCCTGTAAAAAATCAAGATGCACGCATATATATGTATACACGCGCGCGCGTGTCTATTATTGAGTGCCATAGTACTTGTGCAAACAGAAATCAGGGAGCACAAGAGATTCAGTTGAATTAGTTCGAACGTTACGGAACATAAGTCAAACAGTAATACATACCCACGTCACGAGATCTAATTTGCATATAGTCAATTCTAATCACTAACGAATATAAAGATATAATAACGGAAACACCTAGAAATTATAAAGAAAATTGTGAATCAACTACTAGTATGTTTAACAAAGTACCGAGCAATATTTTAGAGATATTTTGATGCGGAGAGGGCAGTGAGAGAGGAAAATATAAAGAAAGGTGAGAAGAAGAGAAAGAGAAAGTTGTACATTTTATAACATATTAATTTTAGAAAACGATGAATAATGATAAAGGCAGTACTTAACGGAACGTTTTACGGCTACGACTACAATAGTTGTTTGTTAGCGAGCTGTAAGTCGTCCAATACCTGAAGGAGGGACACGATAGCCTGATGCTGGCCGTCGGCGGGATGTTCGCTAAGGCTGCTCGGCAGAGATTCATCCATGTAAAATTCCGTACCCATGAAGTCGGTAGCACCTACACCGACGGAGGGACTGCTACCTCCGCTACCAGATAGCGGATGCTGATGTTGCTGATGCTGGCCGTCGCACATGACGGAGGACCGCAAGGAAGGAGGATTCGGACTCAGGGAATGTTGCTCCTCGAGCGGTATAGCGTCGCGATAATTCGAGAGACCGCTCACGCCTCTGCGAAGCAAACAACTGGAAGAATCGGCGGCGCCGTTCTCCACGCACTCGGTCAGCGGACTTAGCTGCACCGGACGCTCGCTCGTGGCGGATAGACTGGGAAATTGGAAAGAGCCGGGTTCGCTTGATGTAGTCGAACGTGTTGTTAAATCCGCGACTTTCGAGTTTAACGGGGAGACGTTAGTCGAGGTCGAGGAAGCGGGGGACACGCTTCGAGAGGCACCAACCTCCAATTGCTTCTGCCGTTTCTGTTTCGCCCCGTCGAACACACCAGGCTTGGTTACTTCCACGCCGGCTTGACCAATTTTCTCGAACTCCTCCGTATCAGTTTCGGATTCAAAATCGCCCCTGAAAATTGATACACGTGACGTTCGCGATTTGTATAATCCATCTGTATATAAATGGCAATATAACGGGTTATTAAGACTCACCTATCAGATAATAATGGCGCTCTAGTGCGTTCTTGTTCCTTTGCGGGAATATCGGTGCTCACTGATGTGGTGTCTTTCTCCTTGGTACCATCGGTGCTACCTTCGGTGAAGCTTTTCGATAAGAAGAATTGCGTTATGCTGCTCAAATCTGGCGTAGAAATTGTAAGCGCCAAATCCGGAAGCTGCGATCGCAATGACTCCATGTCGTCCGCGGTTAGCTATAGTTAAACATTAAGAATAAATTATTCATATATGTATACTTTAGTAATTAATAAAGTCTATCACAGATCTTACCTTAGGTAGCCCGTTGTCAAAAACAGAAGGTGCTTGCGTTGCAAAAGGCGGTGGTGTGTCCTCCAGACCTGGGAAGAGAGTGTTCAAGAAGTGGCCGTCAAATTTGCTCTGAAACTCTCGCCTACGTGCCAACTCCTCGCTATGAACAGTCAACAGTTGGCACGCCAAATTGCTTGCCCATACGAGAAAAGCTTGCGAGAAGGTGCGCCTTCTAACAACTTCAACCACCGCGCTTATGTACATCTGCGGAGCTAAGTGGATCTGTTGGAGCACCTCCAGATGCCGTCGCAACCGCTTCAGGCTCTCGTGATATATGATTAGCTTGTTGCCCACTTCCACCATCTTATTCTCCACGTACATGATCCACTTCAAGCGATGATAGATATTCACCGACAACTCTTCCTTCGCCTTGGTGCATCTGCGGCGGATATCGCGCAGCTGATTGTGATTTTGCAACATGACAAGCAATTGCCGCCGGTGAGAATTGCAAAGATCTGGCAGGACGCTCGCATCGCCTAAATTGCTCGCGCGATTCTGATTCTGCAGAAAACCTTGAGCAAGCTCGCCTTGCTCGTGGACAAGTCTCTTGGTCTGCACCATCAACTGTTCCAGAGCAAACAGCCTCTCGCCTAGGCCCTTAATCTCCTTCATATCTTGCTTATTAGCATTATCGACAGCCCCGTTCACTTCTGCCTTCAAAGCCTGCATCAATCGTTCATCGAACTGCTCCAGGCCACGCGAGCATTGCTCTGCCACTTGCTCTAGGCTGCTTTGATTGTCTTTCGCAGAGATCCATCGTAACAGACTTAGTACTTCCCCACTATCCTCCGATGCAGTTTCGGAAGTTTGACTCGGTTGATCATCCGGACTCAACAAGCCCTCGGCTTGAGCTCTCAAGGCCGGCAAAATTGGAATTTTTGCAAGAGTGCCGAGATCAGCGCTGAAGCTGCAATAAAATTTTGCATTCGTTTTTTTTCAAGCGTTACTTCGCTATTTAATAGAACGAAAAACATACATTTAAATGTTACTCTACTTCTGATTACTATTAATTAAAAAATTCAATTTATTACACATTAGAATGTTACAGACATTAAGTAGTCACTTATATTTGGCGAACAATAAACTTTGATGCGCATATTTTGAGATAAAATTAATACTAATTTAATTACTCATTAGCAATATAACCAATGATAATTGAAGCAGCTACGATTAAATATGGTAATCAAAAGCTGTGATAATTAAAACGTGACTTTAATGGTAATTATATTCCATTGTAATTAAAGTAATTATTAAGAGCAGAATTACACTATACATTTATGGTAGCTGCTACTCATAATTCATTACAAAAAATTTGCTTAATATCCCGTAACACATCCTAAGCCCATTAATCTGTACTCTCACTATTATTCAATCGAGCTTTGATCAGTTTGATAAAATCTACGAAAGAAAACCAGTCCCTAGCGCCATTAATCGTAACGTTCAATGCATCCTGTCAATTAAATTATCGCTCATAAATTATTGACTATTTTTGGAAGTATTATTGACTTTGTGCAAGTAATGCAAATAAAGACGAAATATTTTTTATAATTCTTCTCTAAACTCTCGCTTTATTTTCATTAAATTTTGTCATCATAAATCTTGCAAAAACCAATTCCGATAAATTCATCGATATCGAAAGAATATTGAAAACAAGAATAGAATTCCACGATATTTACACATCAATGAAATGAAACTGATATTTACACATCAATAGAACTGAGAAAATGAAATAAAATTGAGGAAAACGAAAAAAAGCATCGTACTTATCAAGGAGCTTCATGTGCTGCTGCCTCTCGGCGAGGTACAAGACGAAGGCTTGCTGGAACTGCTCGGCTCGTGATTGAAACATATGTGTGATGTCCTCAAGATTGGCGACCACCGCGGCCCAGCCTTGTTGCTGGAGATGCTGATCGTGAACCAGCCTCTCGCAGATCCTCGTCTGCTCACGCGCCAGCCCGCAACACTGCTGGGCTAAATGAGCACGTGCGCAAAGAGTCTGATAAGTGGCTGGCATCGCCAGTGAGGCATCGATCTGAGTCTGCAGGTCGACATCTGATAAACAAAAATCAAAATCAAAATAAATACTTGTTTTCGCAAATGTTATTTTGCTCTAGAATATAGTATTTTGACAAATTATAGGTAATACGAGAGTTACATGATAAATGGTTCTCTGAGCCTGTATTCTGTAACTTCTAAATGATACTAACGCTGTCGTAAAAAGTTACAGAACACACGCACTGAAGTATTTTTCTAATAATAATAAACCTACCAATGGTAACGAAAAAAAAAACGTATATTACATCTATTACATATATTGCAACATTGTATTCCTTTCGAAAATTGTACATCACATAAATTATAATATGACACCGAGAAAAGAACACAGAACAACAATATCTCTCTCTAGGAATGTGGATTAGAGAAAGTTATGTTTATCCCGTGTGCAACCTCAATTCTAACTTTAATAAAATGGTTCCTGCATCACCTTTAAGTGCTTGGACGAGAATCGATATACCTATAATCTTTTTGTGGCTGTCAGACGTCTGAAAACGCGTACAACTTGGCAATTCGTGACTAAATCTGAGAATTTAATGAGGTTCTATCTAGTTAGTGAAATACACACAAATAAGACACAAATGCTTTTCACCACAAACAGCTATGAATTTGAAGCTTGAAGTTGTCGATCGTATTACGAGCGTAACAAAAGCAACTAGGAAATGTATTCCTTTTACGTAAGGATGATGTTAACACGCGAATGTTAACGACGAGCTCGTAGCATCAGACAAAAACTATGTATCGGATCGAACCAAGTGGCAGGTGTATAATTGATCGGCGAGGCTCGCCAGAGAGCGTAATCTTGGCACGCGATGAAAATTCAAGGTCGCCATGACACATATCGCTTCAGCAACCTTACGTCACACTCTAGATTCAAGAGCCGAATTATGTACTTAATTTATGTTTCATGTACTTAATTAATTAATTCATGTGTGCGTGAAATCGCAGAAGAAAAAGGAAGGTCATTCGATGGGAAGAAGATGAGAATAGACTCAGTAAACGAAACAGTAAGGGAATAAATGACACAAAGGAAAGAAGTATGACATGGCATATATTGTATATCGTTGCATAAATTTACTGACATATTTTACATATCCTATCACGCCTATTTTAGGATATTTTACATATCCTATCATGCCCATTCCACAATGATAATGCATGTGCGACTCGATCTTTGTAAACCACACGCTGTCCAAGTGACCTTACTGATTTGCAAGTGCAAAATGTATCATCATTATGCGTGATCGAACAATCGGGGAGATGCCGCAATATCATCTTATTCGAAAGTCAAATGAATCGTCGGCAGATAATCGCAAAGAAGGAAGAAGTGTTACGGATGTAATCATTACGTTGCTTATCGCGACGATGATGCTCCACTTACAAAGCATACTACAGATGCATATATACACGTGAATTAAGAAACACTGTGAAAATTTTTTATCGAAACTGTAAATCTGAATTTACGATAACCTTTGGCAGAAATAATTATTTCTTACACATGTATCCATTTTTATCTTCTCTTTGCATTACGTGTTTTCACGATTTGTTAAAAAGATTAGGAAAAATGCATAATGCGCTCTTTGATCTCAGATCGTCACGAAGCAGAAAGTCTCCTTATGATTTTACTCTGTCCGCTTGCATCATTCATACTGAGAATCTAGATAGAATCTTTTTTATTGTGAGACACGTCGACCATTATATGTACAGAGGATAGACAAAATAATACAAATACCTATATAGAAAATTGGACGGCTCTCTTAAGTCCAATATTAGACATATGTTTTATAGAATTATGGATTTGTTACAATTGACTGTTAAGAGCTTAATTATCAATTATATGGGCATTAACGATTATTATTCTACCGTTCTGTTGAATCATTAAATCGTTCATTTAATAACATCTTATAAAAAATTGCGAGCGATTTTATCATGTAAGAAATTAAAATTTACATTATAATTAGATTTTTATTGTTTTTATCATTATAATAATATCAGAATGTACCACATTTTTTAATTTAATTGTTAGATAAACGTTGAAAATAATTTCATAGAGGTTGAAACATACGTTCTTGTTTTGTTAGTTTGTATCTAATTATTGGTCAATATAATAGCATTAAATATCCAGTTTGATTCTTATTTTGTATAATTTATTGTATAATAATAATTTTATTTATTTTATTATAAATAAGAGATCTATCTTTTTTTTTTACTTTGAATATATTCTATTTCTATTCTTATTAGAATAGAGTCATAGAATGCTTTTGAATAATTATCAATGGAATGTTATACTATACTTTTAATAGAACAACATTAATAGAGGTTGACCATCATTTGCTTTATTTGCTTTTAATACACATTCTATTCTTGTTGAAATAGTCACACAATACTTGAACAGTTGTCAATGGAATAACAAATATAAATAAAATAAGATTCCTCAATATTCAACAAATTAAAGAACAAATATGTAGGGAAGTACAGAATTAGTATTTAGTGCGCAAATATAAGAATAAAAATTCAATCTATATTAATAAACTATATCTTCAATTTTGTACGCGTTTCGACGTACTTCATGTCATTCTCAACGAATTAAACAAATTATTACGCTCTCATGTACGCCGTGCAATTCTGGTGCCAATCATCCACCTCACTAAAGATTCCTATTTGTTCCATCGGAGTTAAATGATTAGATAAAACAAGAGAACTTCATGAGGTAGACTATAATAAAGAGAGAGTACGGATAATCACTCATCAAATTGCAACAGACTTGTACATTCACATCCTGTAGTCAACACAATGTACATTACAAACAAATATAAAACTAATCAATCAAAAGAACTGTACTTTTAACTATTCTATTAATAAAACATCTTTCAATTATAAATTATTATATAAATTGCTTATATGAATGATATTAAAGAAAATTTTGAAATTGCTCACTGTTTTGTAAAACTTCAACGTCTTTCTTGACCAATGCAATCGCCTGATTTAAATATCATAGAATCATTTGTAGTTTTGAAGGACAGAGGAAGAAAAGTAAATTTCCTCCTTCAATATTTTTTAGTAATGAGATGTTCTTTTAAATATAAAAGAACGGTATAACATTACACTGTAGTAGTTATTACATTATTCAAGCATCAAACTCTTCTAACAAAGATAGAATCTGTATTAAAGACAAATGTAAATTGCCGTATAAAAAACAAAGGTAAACCTTTTATTACTATAAAAAAAAAAAAAAAACAAGTAATATATTTCCCAGGCTCATATTATTTTGTCTATTCCCAGTAGATATTAATTTTATATTAATTTATACACGCGCGCTTTTGCAATGAATATTTTATTTCTGTTTCTCGAGAATATAAAATAATCAGTAATAACATTTAAAAATAAAAATATATTTCTCTCTTCCGATATGTGCCGTTATCTCGCATTTCTTTACGTGATATAACAAATCGGTAATCTGTGCAGAAACTTAACAGAAACTCGCGAACGAGAGTAGCGCGTACAAAAACATATTTTTCTTCACCATAATCTACTTCAGAGTACATAATCGACTACACGTTGTTCCTCTTGCTGAGGCGTTCCTTCAACTTTCACGGAGGAGATAATTGAGTCGCGAGAGATTATTCGCGACAATAAACATTATTGTGAAAAAAAGCACGGTGAAGCACTGGAATATAACGTGGCGTAAATTACCGGTTGTTGAACCAACAATCTTCATTATTTTATACGTATGGAAAATTTTTCTTAATCTGAACGTTTCTCATTCCCTCTCCCCCTCTCCCCCTCTCCTTCTCCTCCCTCTCCCTTTTTTCTTCCTATCAGTCTTTCTCTTGCTGAAATTATTATAATACAGTAAAGAAAGAATGGACATCCCTGAGTCTGAGACATCGACAAAATTGTGATAAAGCAGCGATATAAGGTATATTTACATCTATAGGTCTGATGCGGGTATACCGCATACGTCATTTCATCGATCGTATCTTTTATAGAGCGCGGCTAAACGAAAGTTTGCGTGTAACACGCGTAGTTCCAAGCTAGGGTCGTGGAAACCTGCATTACGCTGAGACGCAGCTTCGTAATGGCTTTTAATATGTTCAGCATGCGGGGAGGCTTTCCGGATTCTGTCGATTTTTACACGACAATTTTTCCATCCGGTAGACTCCGGTAGAACATTAAACTGGAGCCTCCTTTAAGTACAGATACTAATTGCTTATTTGCGATCTCAGAAGAATATTAAAGAGTACATCTCATGCCTCTATCTCGCGCTCGTTATCTCGACAGAGTCTCGATGCATCGAAGGCTACCAAGTCCGCGACCTCGTTCGCACGGTAATTGCACGCGCGGTGCGGTTGGGCCAAAATAAAAAAAAAAAAATCGGACGCGATGACTCGTGACGAGAAGCAATAACACCGGTATAATTGAAACGCGGAGAAATCGTGTTAAAGGCACGTTAGATAGTTGCAGACGTCACACAGTTTCGGGAAGTCCAATCTAACAATCGGAAAGTTTCTTTCGAAAAATGCTAATGCACAAGACGAATAAAAGCATCGATATTATTCGTGTTTATATCTAGGCGCGCCTAAAATCGCATCGAACCCATCTATAGCGTTCTCCTTTCAACAATATCTATTGTCGATACCTAAAGGAGTGCCGCTTACGGCACTTCAAGCGTTTCAGCATCAGGATAGAAGCATTCGGATAGAATAAACGGCAAGTCCGTGAAATAGAATGAATACGTAGCACTTTTGAGGATACGAAATATAATATTAATGTCGTTCCACTTTCCCATTGGTAATTGTTTCTTCCTTTCGTGAAAAGGTAGAGTACTCAATGATGGTACGAATGACAACACGATTGCAGAAAACGAAACGTTTTCGAGAGCAAACTACTTCTTTTTCTTTCTGTCTCCCTCATCTTGGTATCCTCTTTCCATGGGATCAGCTCCGTCGCTCGATTCGCAACCGGTGCGAATCCGGATGACTCTCGCGCACTTCGCG